CCCCCCCCCCCCTCACCCGAGCCAAATTCACTGCTAGTAGAGGCTCTTCAACATCAAGTTTACAAAAATGCGAAAACTCACAATGTTTATCACCGCCGTTCACCGCTGTTCACCGCTGTTTGTGTTTTATTTTTGATCAAACTCTTCAATTAAGCTACAGTCGGGAGGAGTAGGATTTTCCTTTCTCTGTCGTCGGTTGCCTAGGAAGATCAAAGGGCAACAGCTAAGCGGGAATGATTGAAAACGATAAAACCCCTTGATTTTTCAACGATCTTCCCCCATTCGATCTAAAGGCTTAGAGAAGATAGTTGTTTATACTAGATCTTCTTTACTCTTAACACCTAAACACTGAAGCTGCTATTAAATGCATTAAAGGGGGTTGTGTTTTGTCCTTATTTCAGTCAGAAGTCGAGAAGTCCACTCTGCAATGTAAAAACAAAAAAATAAAAGGTCAAATGTCTTTTATTGTTTCGTTTTTCTGAGAACATGCATCAAAGCGGAAACAATGGATGGCTTAAAAATTTTCGTAGAAATGATTCATTTATTTTTAAGCAAAGACGCACGCTTTTTATATAAGCCAAAACGTCCGGTCTGAATTTCAGGCAGCTTCTAGTAGCGAATAGAACAGCATTTCTGGAAACCTAAAAAGAGGACAACCTTGCGAGGTATACCCAAATTGTCGAGCACTTTTTCTTGGAATTCCACAGTCCGGGATTTCCAACCGGGAGTCTGGACACGTCTGGACCAGTCTTCCCATCAAGCATTGTACGGTGAAATCCAAAATGGCGTCTATGTTGCTCGCGTAAAATATTGAAGCGATGCTTGCGTTTAAAAATATTAGCGCAATTTTACCAACACGTCTTCCTTCAAGGCTCTTTATTATAAGACAAAGCTCTGCTTTCCGTCTGATTTTAAAGAACGGAGATCTTGCCAAACACCTAATCGCACCAGCGGCTGAACCGCTGCAAGTCCGTCTGTCAGCGTGTGCAGGATGTGGACTCTTTTCTAGTAAACCCTCTGTGAGGTTCCTCTCCCAGAAAACATCCAGTGATAAAAAGGCAGAAGGATCGTCTGTGTTTCAAGAGCTGGTTGAGTCCCGCGAGCAACCACAGACACAGCTGACGGTGGGAGCAAAAGGTAAAATAAGTGTATAGTAATTGGATAATTTCCGTACTATTTCCGGTAGCCTTGCGCCGCATGCGAACTTAATCTCTGGGAAAGACCGACTGCGAGCTCCAGCTCCGAAATCTTTGTTCTGACCCCCAGCTGTGGACCAAGATTTGCGCATGCAGCATGGTTGGCTAAAAATGACATTTTTCTATTTTGGGGTTGGGGGGTGGGGAGGGGGGGGGGGGTGTGAAGGGAAATTCAAAGTGCACCCTTAGTTATTAGTTGTGTCTGTTGGGGGACCAGAACAATGATCTTGGTGCTGCTTCGCAGATGTTACCAACCTCGGGTTAGATTATGCCTGTCACGCAAGCTACGTTTGCGAACATACGGTTGGCGTTAAAGTTTTGGTCAGTCTCACTTGCTTAAAGCTGTACGCATCTAGTGTAGTGACTTTACCAATGTCTTGAGTAACATCAGCTATTGTGAGAATATGTTAGAGGACCTTGAATAACTATAACAGAAATCCAAAAGCCCCGTCATTGGATACCGCAACATTGAATCACATTGTAGATTAAACCTGCTACACTGCAGGTCTAGATAATAATTCTATATCCCACATGAAAATTAAATTACCAAAATACTGCTTGAAAAATACCTCAATACTGCAAACCCTGATGTCCCCCTCAGAAAAGGTATTTCCTTTTGAAAGTTTTACATGTGTATGTGTGTTTCCTTTTTGGTCTGAAATCTCAAAATCAGCATCATCAAAGGATGTGGAAAAAGAATATGCCATATCAAACTTGAATTAGCAATAATTTACCCTAGTTGCTACTTCCCCACAACACATGTGTACATCACAATGCCTTTAACAGTTTGGATGGTTATCCTGTGCTCTTGCTTTCACCTGGTGAACTTTTATGATGTCGTGCTTTTGTATCCCTACATGCAGATGATAAGAGATGAACATTCTTCAATAACAATGCATTAGAATCCTGACTTTTTCAACCACCTTTGGAAAACCAAATTGTTTTGAATTATCGGAAGGTTTAAAAAATATTTAAAAAGTGAGGGCTCGATAAATCAGGAATCTACTGTATTTAAACTAACTATGAGGCTGGGCATGTTATGGAGGAATGTTACTTTTTTCATTTGAGGATGTAAATGTTTGGCTATCCTAGATGCAATCTTCAAAGTGCTATATATTGTCCGTATTTTTAAAAATTGCACCCATTTGTCCTCCTATTTTCATCATAATCTCAATTATTTTGATTAATACTCTGATTCCAGTTGTTCAAGCTGGAAAAGATGTAAGCTACTTTGGTATTATTCTTATTGGCTTTGCAATTACTGGTAAGTTCTCAATTTATTTTTTTTTATACTGCAATTTTCAGTGTTTGGTTTGTAAAAATTAACCAGTAGAACTCAATTAAACCAAAGCTATTGACTTGATTTAAAATTACATTCAATTTGCATCTCTACTGGCCATCTTAACATGTAACAATACCCCAAAATTAATGATAATAAATAACAATTACTCACTGAAGTGGAGGTGGCTAGTGGTAGAAATTTACCAAGCCATGAAGCATATACTATAAACAGTGAGATGATTAAACACAAAAATGATGATTTTTAACTCATTTATTGCTGGCAAAATTACAATGGGCAATTGGCCAAACGGCTATTAAACACGCTTTCTTGCCAGCAAATAAAACTTTTGAAAGCATTTGTTTACCTCTTGTGGGGCCATTTCTTCAAAAGAAGTTGTTAATCTTTCTGTATTTGAAACTATTCTATAAAAAACCATTTTAATTTACTTGTAAGCTTATTTATTAACATGTGAGCAAAATAAAGTAGCTAAGGACTAAATCTGCATTTAAAAACAAAAAACTTTTTCAGTAAATTTTGGATTCATTGATTAATGAAGGTTAAAGCGACTAAGTTTTACCAGTAAAACCTGCAAACCAAATTTTGTCACCCTCTTTTTGTTTTCATGAACAGCTTCTTACAGTTTATAGTAAAATTGATTTTACTTAAGTAAACCAGGAAGCCATGCATTTTGCTTATAACTTATGCGAGTTTAGCATCACTCCAACGTGAAAGCACTGTATATCCCAAGTTTGAGTAGCCAATTGATAAGAGCATGTGAAAAACACTATCCAGTGGTTTAGTATATACTAATTATTATTGCACAAAATGTTTTGTAACCTGGCTGACCCAAAACACTTAAGTCACACAAGTAATCAAAGTGACCCTAGTCACCCAACTCATGCTACTCACCATAGTCAACCAAGTCACCCAAGTCACCCTAGCCAGCCCAAGTCACCCTAGTCACTTAAGTCACCCCAGTCACCCTAGTCACCTAAGGCACCCTAGCCATCCACCGTCCACCATTCACCGTCCTTTCCTTGTAAGTAGCTAAGCGAATTCAAGCATAAAATTAATGTAACCTAAGCTATTTTTATGTTTGTTTCGTCAAGTTGTAATATGTATACGTTTTGTGTGATGTAAATTTAGCTCAAATTATAAAGTAAATAAATAAATAAAAAAAGTCACCCTAGTCACTTAAGTCACCCTAGTCACCCAAGTCACCATAGTCACGCAAGTCACTCTAGTCACCCTAGTCACCCAAGTCACCCTAGTCACCCAAGTCACCATAGTCACTCAAGTCACCCTAGTCACTCAAGTCACCCTAGTCACCCAAGTCACTTTAGCCACTCAAGTCACACTAATCACCCAAGTCACCCGAGACACCTGAGTCACCCAAGTCACTTAAGTCACTCTAATCATCCTAGTCACTCAAGTCACCCTTTTCACCTAAGTCACCCAAGTCACCATAGTCACCCTACTCACCCAAGTCACCCTACTCACCCAAGTCACCCAAGTCACCCTACTCACCCTACTCACCCTAGTCACCCAAGTCACCCTAGTCACCCAAGTCACCATAGTCACCCATGTTACCTTACTGACCCAAGTTACCCACATTGGCCATGTCACCCAAGTGACCTAAATTCCAAGAGTCACCCAAGTTACTCAACTCACCCAACTGACCATTAATGAATATACAATATTTTTCAAAAACCCTTCCCAGAATTAAGATTCGTGATGGCAGGAGCCCATCAAATGGAGCCTCCATCTCCATTAATTTCTTGAGTCAACCCTTTCCCAAGTAGATTTATAAAGAGAACGGCTTGTTTCCCGCGAAAAGTGTCATTTCCGTGAGTCTCGTATGTCACTGTGAAAAAAATTAAGTTGGATGAAGTGGAACTCAAAAGCCTGTCTTTCGACCGTTTTCCTTTTTTACTATACGTCCATTTTTACAGTTTTACAGCTGCTGGGATCTGGGATGAAATAAAAGTTAATGAATTACCCGACTGAGACTGAGCATGAAGCGATGGGACAAAGGCAGCGAACTGAGGATCACGGAAAGGTTCTTTGCGAGTGTTTGTTTTTGTTTTTTGTTTTTTGCCGTCATACATCCCACATTTAAGCATGCACCTTGAAAAGAGTCGACGATTAAGCATTCCGTGGACGATTTGAAACTCTTCGATGATCAGGGCTGAAAAAGTGCCAGGATCATTTGATTTTTGTTATCGCCGTGGAGTGGATTTCGCCAGTTAAGCACCGTGTGCAAAAGCGATGACCTAAGTAGCAACCAAGGAGGAATGCTTCAGAAAAATTGCAGTCTTCCTTTACAACTTACTTGTATCACCATGAGAGTTGCCTGATAAAACTGGCACTTGAAAAGTTGAACAGAAGACAACAGTTGCTCGACCGTGAAGCTAACTCAAAAGTAATTTGCTAACGGTGGAATTTGTGACATCGTGCTCCAGTCCAAAGACCCTCTTATCTCAAGAAAAACAAAATGGATTGTATCTGCACCCAAAGAATTATGACTGACTAACAGGAGAATTCTCAGCAATTAATGTAGAAGTTTAGGCCAATTCTTTCCTTCGAATTTGCATCTGTAGATCACTTTTTTGCGAGAAAACAATGGCTGGGCTCGGTGTTACAAAACATAGCAGGGAATCATCACGCTAACTGACGGACAAAACAACCACAGTATAGTATTTATTCAGACAAACGCATTTCGGAGAAAAACTTGAAAAACTACAAATTTGATTAATATAGAGTCATTTAGCCGAAATAAGAACCTTAACGCTAAAAAAAATTGGCTAAAGAAAACGAATCCTGTCAGAACTACAGGCTGCAGGTAGTAGTTAATCATTACGCAAGTAACAGACCAGCTTCATGGCCTCTTTTAAATGTGAGACAAGCAACCAAAATTAAGATTAACATAGTCAGAGTTTAAAAGTCTCCACAGTATAATCTACCCACTAGAAAGAAAAGAAAGAAAATCTCTGAGGGATGAAAATGCTAAAGTCACGTTTCACTAGCTTATGATTTTGTTTGGCCTGTCAGCACCGGGTTTCCAGCTGTTTCATGAAGTACAATAGCAGTGTCATTTAGTCGTTGTGATTGGCTCTTCCCACCGTCGGCGCGAAGTCTCCCCTGGGAACTGTTCTTATTATAAATCTACTCGGGAAAGGGTTGACTCCAAGGGCTTGTATGGGAGATGGAGGCTCCATTTGATGGGCTCCTGGTGATGGTTATATTTTGTCCAATATTGTTTTACCACTGGCTTTTCTTAAAACATAGGCACGTTAAACGTGCATGAGCTATTTTGAATGCTTCAGTGTAACCTTACCAAGAATGATGAATCTACCTTTTTCGTCCTAAATGTAGACTGGGTTTTTGTGCAAAATTGGGTATTGCCGTACATAAATGAAAACGCGAAACGCTCAGCTGCGTCGATCCTCATGCTATATATTCACTTTCCTCTGTCTTTCCCTGTTACATCTGGTGCAAGGTCAACAAATTAGTAAAGTAAAATAAATATCTACTCACCAAACGTTGATTAGAAGGAAAACTCTAAGGTTTCCTCGGAGTTTCGTAAGCCGAAATTCGAGTCAAATACCAGGATTTTTATCATTGTGGTAGATGGTTGCATCATCACAATTCACGAGGTTTTCACGTGCGATTCTACTCAGTGAAAAAGTCCTTAACTCCAACAACTTATTTCTTCATGTTTTAAAAGCTATTGCTTCTTAAAAGAAAAGAGCCTTTTTTAAGGCATTGGTTACAAAACGAAACAGGTCTTCGTACGTTCAAGTTACTATTATTATTGTAAAAAGCCAATCTGCATGAGACGTACAGTCACACAACTGGCACGTGAAAGTGTTGGACTTTGCCCCCTTTCGTGGTTCGTACGTGAGGGAATTCGAGTTATCACACGTTAATCTAGTAAACAGAATTATAAAAATAACTCATGTACACAATTTGCACATGAAGATGTTGGCCTTTGGCCCTTTTACAATTCGTACATAAAAAAAAAACGCAAATTGTTTACTACAAAATTTTCTCAACGATTTTAAGAAATCACCTCGGCTTCATTACAACATCTGCAATTAAATTATGTTTCATGCAACGTCAAGGTTGATAGCCTAACATTTATTAACTTTGTAAGCGAGAGAATAATATTTTTAAAGCTTGTTTACAGGATTAACAATACTCGGTACAGCTTTTAAAAAAATAAGCTGCCTTTCAAACTTGTAAAACCACATTTTATATGCCGCATACTTTCAAATTAAAGTCCATATCTAAATATCAATTATTGCTTCACTGGAAGAGCTTTGAAAATATATGATCTTTTATACTCTACCTTGAAGCAGGTGAAACACAACTCATAAATACGTGTGTCAGTACCGTTTGCGATAGCCGAATTCGGTCAGAAATGTCTTGAAATAGCATCCACACTAAAATATGAACCCTTAAACACCTGCATCACTGTACACAGCGTTTGAATCATGAAGATGTTTAATATAATGTTTTCAAACACCTGTAGCCGTAATATACGACGAAAAAATTGTCAAGAATCAAGATGGCGGTCTCAAAGTGCCCTTGTTCGACCTTTAGAGCTCTTTAGTAATGTCATGTTTAAGTAGATGCCAAGATCTCATTGGTTCCTAAGCATCAACTCATAGTACCTTCAATCTTATTGGCTCTTGCAACAAACATCTGAACATACAAAGTTACAAAGATACAAAGTTACAAAGCCACAAAGATACATACGCTCACACCACTGACATATGAGCTATTTTTTCAAAATAGCTCAAAAATCAATTTCCTAACAATTAAGAGGCAATGTTTTCTCTTCTTTTTCTTAGGTGCACTGTTATGGTTCTTAGTAAGTGAGTTATTTTTGGGCTTCAGTCCCAACAGGGTTTATGCACATGCTTTGAAGAAGGTTAAAGCAAATGCTGAGGTAAGCATGAAGGCAGTCATACAGTTACTCTCTTTCTTTTGGTAAAAGAGAGAATCCAGGCAGCTGTACATGAGCTATAGAACACAAGCTATTTTTGATCCTTGCCAGTATTATAGGGACACCCAATGACGGTTTCCTCCTAAATACACTAAACAGTTTTTAGGCTGTCCAGAGTGCTTTTAGACCTTTACAAATGAAAGCTTAGCGTCTCTGTATCTGTTCATCCTAGGGGAACTTAAGTCTTTTTCAAAATTGCAAGGGCTGTGCAAGTATTATTTTCCCAAAAATTGTAGATGCAGTTTAGTGCATTACGAAAATGAAAATTTTTTAATCCAAAATTTTTTCCTACAAAATTAATGGTCAAGCCTGGGGTGTGAAATGTGAAAAATTAAACTTCAGAAAATTGTAGGGAATTTATTATTACAAGCTTCGAAAATTGTACCTGAATGGAACGGTCATCTAGAACTTTTAAGTTGTCGTCAAGAGATAGAAAATTCTAGGCAATATTTGCTTCTCCGAACAGATATTTTACAGAAAGCAGTCGTTGGGTGCCCCTGAGTATTACTGCTTTCTGTTGGGAATTAGGTAAAATTACTAAAAGCACTCTCTTTTGTTAGCATCATTGCTCATTATTTCTAGCAATATTTCTCCTGGTTTTTAGGAAGATTGCTCTTTATTTGCTCTCATTTTTGTTTCCTGTTGGTAAACTTCATCTGTTAAGCATTATTTTTATCCAGTGCTTCTCAGTGACATTATGGCCATTAATTTAATGTTTCTTACTTTTGCAGGTTGTTGAAGCAATTGGAGAACCAATAATGGGGCATGGAGAAACAACATCAAGAGGAAGAAGGAGGCATGTTAGGTAGGGTACACTGTCAGCTACTAAATGGAGACTAAGTTTGCATTTTAATATACCTGCCAACTTTTTCTGAGATATAAGCGTGAGATTTTTATCCTGGGAGTGCTGGGATTTTTGAAGATGACAAGATCATTTCCGAAGATTCCCAAAGAAGTCCAAAGTCTTCCGAAGACGTCCGAATTGTGCCGAAGGCGAGGTTATTGAGTCACAGTCTTAGGACGCGTATAAACGCGAGCATGCTCCCAGTGCTTTTCACTTCCAAAATCAGAGATCGCGAGGAAGGTATTGTCATGTATTCATTTTACACATGGTTTTCGTTCCTTACATGGGTCTGAGTTAACATATTTTTGGAAATTGTGTCAAGCAAGACAGCAACAACTCACATTTTTCAATCAGGCGTGAGAAATTGGCCCGCAAGCGTGAGCCGGCATGAGATCGAAGTTTTCAACCCGCAGGCGTGAGACTCACGCCTAAGGCATGAGAGTTGGCAGGTATATTTTAATAGTAACCATCACTGCTGAAGATATTGTCTGTAAACCCAATTTTAACGACTGTTTCTCTCACTAGTGAAGTGCAGCACATTTTTTTTTACAGTTTAATGTGGATAAAGTACTAACCAGGCACCGGTTGTTCAAAGGCAGAATAGCGCTATCCACCGGATAAATCTCTATCCAGCGGATAGCGTAATTGATTTCCGTGATACTTATCCACGGGATAGTGATTTATCCAGTGGATAGCACTATCCAACGTCTGAACAATGGGGGGCCAGGTCCTTTTTTGTTAAGCATTTAAAGTAAGATAAGTACTAATAAGATTTGACAGCTGATATTCACATGATCACTTTGATTGCTGGAAATAAGGTCAGCGTCTTAGCTATTACATTGAAACAACTCAATCGCTTGACTAACCTCGTTTTCAGTTGTTGGTAGAATTATCTGTGGTGGTACAACCTCATGTTAATGCGATTGCCTCTTAATTCTCTCTTTTGTACTGGGATTTTCCCCCTTATGCAAAATGTTATTTTGCTGAAGTAAGCACAATTTCCATAAAGGCAGTATCAATTGAAAGTAGTATTCAATCAAAGGCTTGAGTACCAATCGCATGACCGTATGATGGTCTGTTAAAATGATGCGACAGGTAATTCTGATAATTACAGCGTCTGGTAGGCTCCTCATATATTTTTAAGGCTGTTTCGATTTGTGGATGTTTTATTATTTCATTGCCATTCCTTTATGATACAGTTACCAAGAGTATTTAGTGGAAGGTGAAAACTATATGCGGGTCAAGTTTTATGTAAAAGGATCAAAAAGAAAAGGGACAGTTCATGCTGATGTAAAACAGGTAACTCTGTAAATGGAGTGAGTGACACTCAGTGCCCACTCCTTCATACAGCATTGCACATAATAGGTAGTGAAAAATGGAGAAAAGCATAATTTGGAAAGTGGGAAGAGTGAGGCTGGACAAAGGGATTGACCCCCCTCTTTAACAGAGTGTAAATTATTATGTCAAATTAAAAATTTTCCTTAACTCATTTTTCCATGCACAAATGCCCTGAGTTTTCAATAATCAATAATATGGCAGAAGCTGGTTGGGAGGAGAAGGAGGAGAAGGAGCCCCACTCTGCTGGATTTTTTAGTAACTACCTCATACAAAATAAAGAAATAAAATTATTGCCTGCATTTAGAACTTTTTCCTTAGAATCACTTAACAATACTTTTTTCCATCTAAACAGTCCTCCTTGTTGTTGGTGTGAAACATTTTTCTATTGAAATTAACTCATCTTACGAAAGAGCACTTCTGCCCACAGTTAGGCAAACATGTTTGCGATCTGATGACATATGAACCCCCACCATAATTTCACAGATTTTTTAATGGCAATTGTTCAACCCAGTAGCATAGCCATTTATGCAGGATACCTATTTTAATGGCTACGGATAGAAATAAGTTACCTGTACCTACCCGAGCCAAATTCACTGCTAGTAGAGGCTCTTCAACATCAAGTTTACAAAAATGCGAAAACTCACAATGTTTATCACCGCCGTTCACCGCTGTTCACCGCTGTTTGTGTTTTATTTTTGATCAAACTCTTCAATTAAGCTACAGTCGGGAGGAGTAGGATTTTCCTTTCTCTGTCGTCGGTTGCCTAGGAAGATCAAAGGGCAACAGCTAAGCGGGAATGATTGAAAACGATAAAACCCCTTGATTTTTCAACGATCTTCCCCCATTCGATCTAAAGGCTTAGAGAAGATAGTTGTTTATACTAGATCTTCTTTACTCTTAACACCTAAACACTGAAGCTGCTATTAAATGCATTAAAGGGGGTTGTGTTTTGTCCTTATTTCAGTCAGAAGTCGAGAAGTCCACTCTGCAATGTAAAAACAAAAAAATAAAAGGTCAAATGTCTTTTATTGTTTCGTTTTTCTGAGAACATGCATCAAAGCGGAAACAATGGATGGCTTAAAAATTTTCGTAGAAATGATTCATTTATTTTTAAGCAAAGACGCACGCTTTTTATATAAGCCAAAACGTCCGGTCTGAATTTCAGGCAGCTTCTAGTAGCGAATAGAACAGCATTTCTGGAAACCTAAAAAGAGGACAACCTTGCGAGGTATACCCAAATTGTCGAGCACTTTTTCTTGGAATTCCACAGTCCGGGATTTCCAACCGGGAGTCTGGACACGTCTGGACCAGTCTTCCCATCAAGCATTGTACGGTGAAATCCAAAATGGCGTCTATGTTGCTCGCGTAAAATATTGAAGCGATGCTTGCGTTTAAAAATATTAGCGCAATTTTACCAACACGTCTTCCTTCAAGGCTCTTTATTATAAGACAAAGCTCTGCTTTCCGTCTGATTTTAAAGAACGGAGATCTTGCCAAACACCTAATCGCACCAGCGGCTGAACCGCTGCAAGTCCGTCTGTCAGCGTGTGCAGGATGTGGACTCTTTTCTAGTAAACCCTCTGTGAGGTTCCTCTCCCAGAAAACATCCAGTGATAAAAAGGCAGAAGGATCGTCTGTGTTTCAAGAGCTGGTTGAGTCCCGCGAGCAACCACAGACACAGCTGACGGTGGGAGCAAAAGGTAAAATAAGTGTATAGTAATTGGATAATTTCCGTACTATTTCCGGTAGCCTTGCGCCGCATGCGAACTTAATCTCTGGGAAAGACCGACTGCGAGCTCCAGCTCCGAAATCTTTGTTCTGACCCCCAGCTGTGGACCAAGATTTGCGCATGCAGCATGGTTGGCTAAAAATGACATTTTTCTATTTTGGGGTTGGGGGGTGGGGAGGGGGGGGGGGGGGG